CAGTTCCATCTATGTGAAGATAAGTCAAAGGTCCTGCTCGACCATGTCTGGCTTTACTTGGAAGCGTGAATGAGATATTTCCTCTGAGTTGACCCTTCTCTTTGTAGACTGGACACTGGTTCCAAGTCCATCTCGTGGGGTCTCCGTGTTCTCCCTGAACAAGAGGAGAGGTGATTCACCACAGTTACAGGATATATTGAGAGATGTTCATAGTCCCCTGGAACTTAGTCGACCTTGGAGGGCAAGGGGCAAAAACTGTCCTTTAAGTCCCTCTGACCACATTAGTATAGGCGTCAAACTTTGGCTGTTAAACATCCAATAAGGTTAGTTCCACCAGTCTGGTACTTTTAATTATCATATGCTATGTAGTAAGGCTTGGGTTAAAAACCAAATATTCTCAGATAAACCTCGACTTAGATATATATTTTGTTCCTTAAACTAGCTGACTAAACTATGACCATGGAAATTTTCTGTTTTTTAATACTTGTTTGTTGATTATGAAAATTTAGCTGACATTCTGAGGGAATAATTTAATAAAGTACCAATACATGTACTGAGATGAACATCACACTTGGTATGTGAAAACCCAGGTTTGAATTCTCGCTTCTTTCTTTGGGGAAATCACTGAGGGAGGCATGGAATGCCTTGGTTGATCATGTATAATACAGGGTCTCCCATTTCCTATCCCAGAGTCATATTAAAGTAGTTTAAATTACATAAAATGAGCTGGGCATGGTGGTGCAAGCCTTTAATCCCAGCACTTAGGTGGCAGAGGCAGGTGGATCTCTCAGAGCCAGCCTTCGAGTTCTGGGCCAGGTAGCCAGGGAGACCTGGCTCAAAAAGACCAAAATAAATAAATTACATAAAATTTATTTTTATAGAATCTAGATAGAAGAAAAAGTAGTGAATAAAAGTCCAGCTGTCAATAGACGAGGAAAATGATGACAAATACATCCTTTTTGCAGACAGGGAGAAAACTACCTGATCTGGGGGAGAACATAAGGGAGGAAATTACTGGATGAGTCTGTAAGTGGATAACAAATGAGCAGGAAAGTATTTCTAGAGGGAGTGAGAAAATATATAGTTACGAGGATGACAGATAAACAGGGAAAACTATGAGAACTATTAAAGACCCCCCCCCCCGAAAAAGAAAAGATGGAGAAAGTAAAATGTAGAAGAATGGAGAATCAAAAAATAAATTTAAGCATACTACTGCAGGGTAGGGTATAGCTTAGTGGCATAGCACTTGCATAGTTTATGCAAGGGTTTGGGCTGAATTTCCAGTACCATCAAAACAAGCAAACAACAGACAAATTGCTGCATTCTAGTTCCTGATTCTTTTCAATTTTGAAATTTATGTATTATCTTTATACTCTTTTTGATAACCAATTTCATTTCTCTCCTTCACATCTACAAGGAAAAAAGAACTCTGAATTCCTTTTTTTTCAGTGAAACTGCAACATTGTAAAAGTTGTGGTTTTTTAAATAATAAAAGTGATTAATATTAGCTATTACCTGTATATTAGATCTTACTAGGTGATTGTTGGCTGAATTAGTTCTCAGATAAAACATGGTTACTGTTCATACGCAGGAAATCACATCTCACCAAAGAAAGTAAACTCCCAAATATTATGGTCTTAGAGCTTGAGTTTTAGCCCCTCCTGTTACCAATTAAAATTTGTGTTTCAGGGCCAGGTGTGGGTGGTACACACTTTTAATCCCCGCACTCAGGAGGCAGAGGCAAGTGGATCTCTCTGTTCAAGGCCACCTGGGGCTACAGGGACATCTTGTCTCAAAAAAGAAAAAGAAGGGGGCTAGAGAGATGGCTCAGCAGTTAAGAGCAGTGTTTTTGCAGTTAAGTGAGTGTTCTTGCAGGACCTGGGTTCGATTCCCAGCACCCACATGGCGGCTATGAACCGCCCTTAACTCCAGTTCCAGGGGAATTTGAAGCCCTCTTCTGACCTCCACAGCATTGCATGGCATGGGCACACTCATACACAAAATAAAAATAAAAGTGAGTTTTTCTGTATGAAACAGTATATTTTAAAATGAAATGGAGATCTTTTTTATTCAATTTTATGTCTTATAAGGTTTATACTGAGTTCAGTATTGTATAACTGTATTAATTCAAGTATGAACCTAAAAATTTACAGTCAATTTTGAAGGAGATGCATCTTTGCTCTGGAAATTGTTATTGAATATATTAATGCTGTAATGAAATGCTTCTAATCATGTGGTTATTAAATAAATAATTTTTTTAAAAGTGAAAAATGAAAAAAAATACAGAAAAGTATTGACTAAATTTTGGTTTTATTATGCTAAATAACAACACAGTCTAGGTTTACTTGTTACCTTTGATGTGAGCCAGGAGTTTAGGAATATTAGAAACCGTGTATTGTTGTAGAAAGTCTTTCTGGAAGTGTTACTTACTAAATTATTAAGTCCTTGACTAGGTTTATGAATAATTAACTAGTACTGAGCAAAAGTCATTTCTGTTAGGACTTTATTGTAACCTTGTGATCTGAATGCCAGGTTTTTTTATTCCTACAGGTGGTAGCCTTCTGTGCTGTGATTCTTGCCCTGCTGCTTTTCATCGTGAATGTCTGAATATTGATATCCCTGAAGGAAATTGGTATTGCAATGACTGTAAGGCAGGCAAAAAACCACACTACAGGGAGATTGTCTGGGTAAAAGTGGGGCGATACAGGTGAGTAAGCATGACAAAGAATGGCACTTAATTCTTTTATCATCTTCTGGTTTTTGTGCTCTTTTTAAAAATGGTCTTTACACCGGGAGTGGTGGTGCACGCCTTTAATCCCAGCACTCGAGGCAGAGGCAGGCAGATCTCTGGGAGTTTGAGGCCAGTCTGGTCTCCATAGCAAATCCAGACCAGCTAGGGCTACAGGGAGACCCTGTCTCAAAAAGACCAAAATAAAAATGATCTTGACAATTAAGTATTCCCAACCCCATCAGTTTTTCTTTATATGACAAAAATCTCTTGCCAGACATGGTAGTGCACACCTTTAATCCCAGCACTTAATTGGCAGAAGCAGAGGCAGAGAGATCTCTGAGAGTTCAAGGCCAGCCTGGTCCACATAGTGAGTTCCAGGCCAGCCTCACTACTGGAAGACCCTGTCTCAAAAAGATCAAAAAAAAAGAAAAGAAAAAGGCGGCTGGAGAGATGGCTTAGCGGTTAAGAACACTGGTTGTTCTTGCAGAAGACCTGAGTTCAAATCTCAGCACCCACATGGCAGCTAACAGCTCTCTGTAACTACAGTTCCAGGGGATCTGACAGCCTCTTCTGTCATTGGGCATTGCATGATACGGGTGCACTTACCTACATGCAGGCAGTACACACACATAAAATAAAAATAATAAAATATTAAAAAAAAAAACTAAAAAGAAAAAAATTAACTGTGACTTGCAGACATGTGTATGCGTACTGTATAACAAATTCCATGATAAAGTAAAATAAGCACATTTAATCTCTGAGAACAAGGAAGATCTATTGTTAACATTTCAAAATATTTACTTGTGAACGTGCACACTAATGCCCTTCCTGGCCAAATAATTGTTTCCATGGTTTATACCCAGTTGTTCATCTTGTTCTTGCATTTTGGAAGTTGCTACTGAATTTGGAATTCACAAAAGAATATTAACATAAATGATTTCAAGATACAACAAGGGCACAGTATAGTAGCTATAGTTCACATCAGTTTATGATACATTCTGTAAAGAACTGGAAGGGAAGCTGCGGTAGTACACCCTGTATTCCCAGCACTGGGGAGCCTGAAGCGGGAAGATGACAACTTCATGGTCAGCTCTGGCTGTGTAGAAAGACTGTGCATCAAAACAGAAAATTACTACAGAGAAGTTTGAAGATTATTAACAGAAAGAAATGGCAAGTGTTAAAAGATGAAAATAATGATTACCTTGATTAGATAATTACTGGACCTTTTTCTTTTTTAAACTTAAAATTGTATGTTATTGTCTAGTGTACTGTGGCAACTGTTAATGCCCTTAATATTGAGCATTCTTTTTATTCATTTTTCATTACCACATTTTCATTTGATTGTTACAGATAATTCTTTAGTCAAAAGATAGCTATAAATACTTGTGTCTCTATTTCCTTGAAGTAAAATAACAGAGTCTAAAGGATTACTTGTTTGTTTATAGGTGGGGCCAATACATGTAGACTTCCATTACATATTACTTGTTTATATAATAGCTTGTAAAAACACCATGGGTTGGGAGCGGAGGCCTTGAATGAATGGACAAAATGCTTGCTACATGTTTGAGGACTAGAGTTCTGATCCTAGCACCACGTTGATGCCAGACTAGTATGGTGGCCCACCTGTGGTCCCAGAGCTTGGGAGGCAGAGATAAAGGATCCCTAAGGTAGAGGATCCCTAAGCCAGGCTAGCTACATAGACTAGCCCGAATTAGTGAGTTCCAAGTTCAGCTTGAGACACTGCCTTATACCCTTGAGACCCTACCTCAAGTAGAGTAGAGAGTAAACCAGGAAGATGTCAGTTTATGGCCTACACACATATGCACACACACAGATGGAAACACATGTACACACATGCATACCATACCACACATAGACAGGCAAAAAACAAGCCAATATGATCAGCCAGTGTGATATTCTTTATTGCTGTCTTAAGAAGGTTCTTTTCCTAGTGCCCTGCAACCTTGTAGAGGTTTTTTTCTCTTGTTTGTACCCTTTTCAGGTGGTGGCCAGCTGAGATCTGCCATCCTCGAGCTATTCCCTCTAACATTGATAAAATGAGACATGATGTGGGAGAGTTCCCTGTTCTCTTCTTTGGTTCTAATGACTATCTGTGGACTCATCAGGCCCGAGTCTTCCCTTACATGGAAGGGGATGTGAGCAGCAAAGATAAGATGGGCAAAGGAGTAGATGGAACATATAAAAAAGGTAATTTTACCCTTCTTATTTCTTAGGAAAGCAAAAACTTTACCTGATTATCTACTCTGTGTTAAAATTCTTAAAATGGCTGGAGGTGTTTCAAGTATGATGGTGCCTGCCTGTAATCCCAACATTCAGGGAATAAAACAAGAAAATTGCAAGTTCAGTGTTTCCCTGGTTTATGTAGTAAGTTCCAGGATGATTTGGGCTGCATAATCAGACTGTGTCTCAAAAAGAAAAATGGGTATCTTGACACATCTGTATAAGCTTTTGGTTGATGGAGGCAGGGGGTCTCAAGTCCAAGGACCTACCCAAGCTACATAGTAAGTTCCAGACCAGCCTGGTCCATATGATACTGTCTCAAGAAAACAAAACAGGGCTGGAGAGATGGCTCTCAGTTAAAGTTACTCTTGCAGAGGACCTGGGTTTGATTCCTAAAACCTATATAGCGACTGAGAACTGTCCAGTTCCAGGAAATTCGATGCCCTCTTTTGGCCTCATGTACTTTGCACTACAGGGGTGCACTTAAATATATGCAGGCAAAACAATCAAGCACATAAAATAAAAATAAATAAAGCCAGGTGTGGTAGGGCACACCTTTAATCCCAGCACTAGGGAGGCAGAGATAGGCCTTGATCTCTGTGATTTCAAGGCCAGCCTGATCTACATAGCAGCTCCAGGCCAGCTGAGAGTACCTGGAGACCCTGTTTCAAAAAGACCAAAAACTAGATAGATAAATGGAAAAAGAAAAGCAAAAGGCTAGCTTATAAATTTAATTTGGTGGTAGAGGGCTTGCCTAGCATGTATAAGTAAGATCATGAATTTAATCCCCAACACTTATAGAAAAAAACATTTTCAATGTAGGTATGCATGCTGATACTTGCCTCTAATCCCAGCTGTATTGTGTAGAAGTACCTTCCTCAAAATAAATTAAAATAAAGAAGTAAATAAAACAGAATTCGTGTAGTGCTGCATTAACTGTGTTCTGACTTAGAGCATCATGTTTGCTATTGTATTTTGTGGAAAAGTATTATCACATAATGTTTAAAGCTAACTTTAGATACAGTTACCTTGAGAAAGGGTGTGTCTTTGTACTTCTGTTTATAAAATAGCATCTCATCATGTAATGGCGCTGTGTAACTACTTTATACAACAAACACTTCAGTTTGCTCTGCAAGGTCTCAAATTCACCAAAGGCACCTTTGATTTGAATATTTTTTATTTGTTTGGTTTTGTGATTTTTTTTTAACACTTTTTTACAAAAATCTTTCTCAAAAAAATTGTAAAAGTAAAACTTTAGGACAATAAAGAAATTTTTGTAAACTGGCCTAGCATTGAAGGGCAATGTGGCTACGATGAGTAACCGTTAGCTTTACTACTTACCAGGTGGACGAGTCAGCTTTTCTTTCCCTTAAGATGTAATGGGGGGGAAGGTTCCTCTGATGACTTAGTAGATGATAAAGTAAACCTGTAGGTCATTTAGTTGGCATTTCCTCAGTGATAGTAACCTTGGTTCAGCTGTCCTTTGAAAGGAAATATGTCTCTTGCTAATGAATATTGAAGTTTTCAGATTTTTTTCTACAGGATGAGATGAAAAGGCATTTTAAAACAACTGAAGCTTAGGGGCTGGAGAGATGGCTCAGCAATTAAGAACACTGGTTGTTCTTGCAGAAGACCTGGGTTCGAATCCCAGCACCCACATTGCAGCTAACAACTATCTGTAACTCCGGTCCCAGGGTATCTGACAGCCTTTTCTGACCTCCGTGGGCATTGCATGACATGAGTGCACTTACCTACATGCAGGCAATATACGCATACACATAAAAATAATAAAAAATTTTTAAAAAGTTAAACAACAACAACAACAAAAAAACAACTGAAGCTTAGAGACCCTGCCTCAAAAAGACCAAAAAAGAACAAGGGGAAAAAAAAAGAAAGGTGAACTTGGTGCACGTCTTTAATCCCAGCATCCAGGAAGCAGAGGCAGGCGGATCTCTGTGATTTCAAGACCAGCTTGGTCTACATAGTGAGTTCCAGCCCAGCTGTGGGGCTACAGAGAGTCCCTGTCTCAGACCCAAAAAAGAGAGAAAGAGAACTGAAGTGTGCTTGTAAACAGATGAAACTGTGGGGAGTAAGAATAATGCGCATAATTTAGTTTAACAAAACTGAGCTGGGCCTGTTGGTACATGCCTTTAATCCCAGCACTAGGGAAGCAGAGGCGGGTGGATCTCTGTGGGTTCATGGACAGTCTGGTCCACATAGGGAGTTCCACGTCAGCTGGGGCGTACAGAGAGACCCTGCCTCAAAATGATCAAAAAATCCCAAAATGTTCTGTTGACAATATGTTGTTAGTTTGCTGAGTACTTCCTGTTTGCAATGTGGTTTCTGTGGAAAGACATGGACTATCAGTACTGATGGTATAAGAACTTTAGTATTGAATCTTATAATCTCAGATGGTCAGTAACCATGTAGCCAACATCTTGGCCTGCACAAACTGGCCACCATTAATGCTGGAAGAAAAGGTAGATTGTAGGAAAAGCCACACGTGTGAGCCTGTTGAAGTTTTAGGATTTTGTCATTCTATCTCTATTAATAGCCTTCCAGGAACATCTTTGGTGGGCGATGTGACACACAAGTGCCAGCAATGCAAAATAACATTCGGTGACTATTATGGCAAACACTTATGTGGTGTTTTGATTAAGTAGCATAGGTAGGTTGAGAATTGAACTGTTAATGTCATGGATGGCTTTGCTAAGTAATGCTTTGAAGAATTCATAATAATAGCTACGATTTACTGTTTTCCAGGCCTCTGTAGTGTGTATTTTTTAAGTTCTCTTTTTAAAAAATTATTTTTATGTGTATGAGTGTATTGCCTGTGTGTGTGTGTAAGAGTACCCATGTCATACAATGCCCATGGAGGTCAGAAACAGGTGTTGGGTTCCTCACTGAGCCATCTCTCCAGCTCTATTTTAAGTTCTTATGGGAACCTTATGAGATAGAGACCAGCTTGGTTTTACAGATAAGGAATTAAACATAAAATCACATTATTGCCTAAGGTCTCTGTCACTCAATAAGTGGTTTTGAAAGATTTTAGTCTCTGGTAGTTATAAGATTCCTTTTTTTCTCTCTCTTATTTTTGAGACAAGTTCTCATGAGAGCCTGTATCTAGGAAGATCAGTGAAGTAGCTGGTTTTAATAGTTCTAAGAAGAGATTAGACTAACAAGAAATTAATGGCTTATGGTCTACAGAATAGACACTTCAGGAGGAAGACAGGGCAGGAGATGGCAAAAATAACAAGAGTGAAGGATGTGTTCTAGTGTAATTTTGCAGACTTCATTTTGGGTCAGAAGGGAAATGTTCTTTAAAAGAATAACGGAGGCCAGGCGTGGTGGCACACGCCTTTAGTCCCAGCACTCGGGAGGCAGAGGCAGGCGGATCTCTGTGAGTTCAAGCCAGCCTGGTCTACATAGTGGGTTCCAGGCCATATGCAATTTTTTGGGGGGTGTCTTTTTGAGTCAGGGTTTCCCTGTAGCCCCAGCTGTCCTGGAACTCACTATGTAGATCAGGCTGGCCTTAAACGCACAGAGATCCACCTGCCTCTTGCCTCCAGAGTGCTGGGACTAAAGGCATGCGCTACCACTCCCGGCTCTCCATATGCAATCCTTTTTTTTTTTCCATTTTATGTGTATGCGTGTGTTGCCTGCATGTAGGTCAGTGCACCCGTGTCATGCAATGCCCACAGAGGTCAGAAGAGGCTGTCGGATCCCCTGAAACTGGAGTTACGGACAGTTGTTAGTTGCCATGTGGGTGCTGGGATTCGAACCTGGGTCTTCTGCAAGGACAACCAAGTGTTCTTAACCACTGAGCCATCTCTGCAGCCCCTCTATATGCAATCTTTAAGCATATAAAAGCACAGAGTGCATTTAGATATGATTATCTACATGTTGTTAGAAATCCACAGTGAATATTTACACCGTATTAGAAGAATGGGTCTGGTACTCTAGATCATAGGCACAGAGAGGAGTACTTGAGCTTGTAATTTCTTCCCAAGTATAGCCAGCATATTAACTATAGTACCTATGAAATAATATTGTTCCTGGAAGTAGAGGTTTAGGAGCAAGTAAAGAAGTAACCTAAAGACAGTGACCAAAGTCACAAATGGAGCATATAAAATCTATTTGTCAGGAATGTATAATGGGCTTTTTCATTTCATTTTATTTTGTATTCTCTAATGGTGGTAGTCTTTTACATCTTGTTTGTGGATTGTATTTTATCTTAATGCCATGTTTGAATACCTTGGAGAGTTTCATAATCCATTTGAAAAATAGATGTTGCTGGGTGGTACATGCCTTTAATTTCTGCACTCTTGAGGCAGGCAGGTCACTGTGAGATTAGGCCACCCTGGTCTACATAGTGAGTTCCAGGCCAGTTGAGACTACAGGGAGACCCTGTCTCAAAAAGACCAAATTAAATAGAAATAAACTAGAAGTCATGGGGCTGGAGAGATGGCCTAGTGGTTCAGAACACTGGCAGTTCTCAAAGAGGATCTGGGTTTGAGTCCCAGCACCCACATGGTGTCTTAACCATGGTAACTCCGGTTCCAGGGGATCTGATGCCTTCTTCTGATCCTCCATGGGTATTGTATGACATGGGTGCACTTGCATAAATGTAGACAATATCATGCACATAAAATAAAAATAATAAAAATAAAATATTAAATAGATGTCATCAGTTTTGGGGTTTTCATATAATGTTGATTTATTTTTGCCAAGGCATAGATTTTCTTTGTCTTAAAAGGAATAAAAAGATAAATATACCCAGAGATTTTTTTTAAGTGACCTTTTTTTGTGTTTTCTTAGCTCTTCAAGAAGCTGCAGCAAGGTTTGAAGAGTTAAAAGCCCAAAAAGAACTAAGACAGCTGCAGGAAGATCGAAAGAATGACAAGAAGCCACCACCATATAAACACATAAAGGTGAGGGGAAGAGGTCTTGGGAGACTTACAGTGACACTACAAAACTCCCCCTCTTTCCACTCTACTCATGATGAAAATGGGAAATAGAAGCAAAGTTTCTTTGAGAGGTGGGAGCATAAGCCTGGGAAAAAGTGACTGATTAACATTTCCAGTGGTGCATACACTTAAAAAAAATGGCTATGGGGCTAGAGAGATGGTTAAGAGCACTAGCTGTTTTTGCAGAGGATTTGGTTCCCAGCTGAACTTGGTAAGTAACAACCATTTGTAATTCCAGTTCTAGAAGAAGCACTGCCCTCTTCTGTCCTTTACAGTCATTGCATACACATGTATACATGCTGACAAAGCACTCATACACCTAAAATTAAAAAAAAACAGAAAGTATCCTAACACTCAGGAAGCAGAGGCAGGCTGATCTCTGTGAGTTCAAGGTCAGCCTGTTCTACCTAGTGAGTTCCAGGCCAGCTGGTGCTACAGGGAAACCCTGTCTCAAAAAGACCAAAAAAAAAAAAAAACCAAACCAAAAAAAAAAAACATTGTGTGCTCTTGTGGAGACTCGTTTGATTCCTAGAACCCACATAGTGGTTAACAACCATCCATAACTTCATTTCCAGGATTTTCACGCCCTCTTCTGACCTTCACGAGCATTGCACTTATATACATGCAGGCAATACATTCACATGAGATGAAAATAATAGTAACAAAAATCAAATAGAAACAAATACATAAATATAAAATGATAAATGCCCCTAAAATAGGAGAATATAGCAATTCTTTATGATGATTTATTCAAACAATGTTAAAATATCTGATTCCGGGGCTGGGTAGATAGCTCAGTGGGTAAAGTATTTTATTTGCTTGGCAAGCATGAGAACCTGAGTCAGAGTCCTGAGTACTGATGTAAATGCCAGTATCTCAAGTACTAGAATTATAAGCATGTGCCTGATGCCTGCTCACAATTCAGTTCTCTTTTTTTTTTTTTAATATATTTTCTGTTTATTTTATGTATATGAGTATATTGCTTGCATGTGTGCAAGTGCACTTGTGTTGTACAATGCCCAAGAAGGTCAGAAGAGGGTGTTGGTTCCCCTGGAACAGGGTTATAGATGGTTGTTAGCTGCCATGTGGGTGATGGGAATTGAACCTGGGTCTTCTACAAAAGCCCCCAGTGCTCTTAATAATGGCCGCGCCATCTCTCCAGCCCTCACAGTTTACTTCTGAGGACAAAAAAAGACACAGGTTTCTGAGCAAGGAAAAAGGAACTTAAGTGACTCCAGTTTGTTTGCACAGATAACAGTTTTCCATATTTTAAGAATCTAAACATCAACATTAATGTATCTTATAAAAATAAGTTGCAAATAAAAGCTTTAATAAAAACTCATGTCAAGGCAGACATGGTGGTACATGCCTTTCCATACCAGCAGAATCTGAGGCAGGTGGATCTCTGAGTTCAAGTCCAGCCTGGTCTACAAAGCTAGTTCCAGACCAGCTGGGGCTACAGGGAGACCCTGTCTCAAAAAGACCAAAAACAAAAAAACTGATATCAAATTCATTTGTTCATTTTTTAAAAATATTTTTTTATTACATGCCTGCATCTATGTAAGTGCACTTGTGTCACTTCATTGCCTTTGGAGGTTAGAAGGTGGTGTCAGATCCCCTGGAACTAGATTTGTGGGTGGTTATTAGCTCCCATGTGAATGCTGGGAACTAAACCTGGGTCCTCTTGAAGAGCAGCCAGTGCTGTTAACCACTGAACCATTTCTTCAGCTCCATTGTGTTGTCAGGTTCACCGTGCCCCTACCCCGACCCCCATGTCCAAACTGCATCAGCTCAGATTTTGTGGATCAATTTCACCACTACCCTTTTAGAATCTTCTGTGTTACCCATACATTCAAGGAACTTGAAAGAAAAAACTTTTTTTTTATCAAATTCAAATACTGGATATCCTGAAGTACTATTTGCTAATCTGGCAGGCCTTTTAAAAGCAGACCAAAGCAGGATGTGGTGGCACATGCCTTTGATCCCTGCACTTAGGAAGCAGAGACTTCCAAGTCTCTGGTGGATCTCTGTGAGTTCAATGCCAGCCTGGTCTACATAGCGAGTTCCAGGCCAGCTGGGGTTATAGGGAGACCCTATAGACTTCCAAAAGACAAAAAAAAAAAAAAAAAAAAAGGGCAGCCAAAATACTTGTTATCTCTGGCCTTTTTTCTTCTTCTTCTTTTTTTTTTTTTTTTGGGTCTGTTTGAGATAGTCCCTGTAGTTACAGCTGACCTGGAATTCACTATGTAGACCAAGCTGGCCTCTGCAAACCTGGGTCCTCTGCAAGGGTGACAGTGCTTTTAACCATTCAACTGTCTCTCCAGCCCTATACCTTTTTTTTTTTTTTTGACAGATGCTACAGAACATTGGCAACATAGTAGTAAAACCATATTAAGACTTGATTTCACTATTTTATCGTACCACAACATACTGGTATGAGGTGGTTTTCTCCACCATGTTGGTTCCAGGGAACTCAGCTCCTAGGATGTGGCAGCAAGCTCCCATACCCACTGAACCATCTCATCAGCCCTCTTAATTTTCTTACTGTTGACATTTTTTTTAAAATTATGTATATGGATTGCTGGGTAAGTATACCTGAGTACAGGTGCCTAAGCAAGCCAGAAGAGGGTTCTTGTGAGTCTACTGGGAACTTAACTGTCATCTTCTAGAAAAGCAATATTCCTGCTATACCAGCTCTCTAGCACCATTTTTTTTTTTTTTTTTTTTTTTTTTTTTTTTTAAAACAGGGTCTCCCTGTAGCCCCAGCTGTCCTTGAACTCACTATTTAGACCAGGCTGGCCTTGAACTCACAGAGATCCGCCTGCCTCCCGAGTGCTGGGATTAAAGGCGTATGCCACCACAGCCAGCCAGCACCTTTTTTAAAAAAAAAAACACATTTGGGAATTATTGGTGAACAATTCTGTATAACGGTGAAATAGTAAGATTACAAAGGTATAAGGAAAAATAACACTAATATTTTAGATCTTAAATTTAGAAAAGTGTGGGGTCTGGAGAGATGGCTCATTGGTTAAGAACACTGACTGTCCTTACAGAAGACCCAGGTTTGAGTCCCAGCACACACAAGGCAGCTAACAACTGTCCATAACCCCTGGTCCAGGGGATCCAACAGTCTCTTATGTCCTCTGCGGGCATTGCACGACACAGGTGCACTTACCTACATGCAGGCAATAACACGCATACACATGAAATAAAAATGATAAAAAAAATTTATAAAAGCGAATAGGAGTTTTCTTTGTCACTATGACCAAAATACATGGCAGAGGCAACTTAATGGAGGAAAGACGGGTTTATTTAGGCTCAGTTTGAAAAGATATATTCCACTATATTTGGGAAGGCTTGGCAGCTTTTCTGGTAGCAATAGTGGTTTTTGTCTGTGACCATGGTTTGCTTATGTGTCTGCAGATCAGGAAGTAGAGAGCTGAGGTTGAAGCTTAGCTGTCCTATTCTCCAAGCCTACCTATCACCCGCATGTGCCAGCTGGATCCCATTTCCAAAAGGTTCCACAGCCTCTCAAAAATAAATTTTGGGGGCTGGAGACAGGTCAGCGGTTAAGAGCACTAACTGCTCTTGCAGAGAACCCAGTTTCAATTCCCAGGTGGTTAACAACCATCTTTAGCTCCACTTCCAGGGGATCTAACACCATCTTCTGATCTCCTCGGGCATTGCACGACACAGGTGTATGTACACACATGCAGGCAATACACTCATATACATAAAATAAAAAATATTTTAAAAAGTTAATGTTCTTTTTGACTAGGAGGACCTCTAAGAAGGAAAAAAATGTCATAAAACATCATCCCTCATAAATAGATTTGTCAATTCACTGAGAAATTAATGAAGTTACTGTTTTTTGGGTTGGGAGGGGGCTTTTTGAGACAGGGTCTCCTTGCAGCCCCAGCTGGCCTGGAACTTGAAGAGATCCACCTGCCTTTACCGTCGCCCCCCCACCTCCCCCAGGTGCTGGCATTAAAAGCATGTGCCACCAAACCCAGCCTGAAGTTATTGTATTTGGAAATAGAACACCAAAGTGTAGTTAGATCGCAAAAATAAATAAAAATTCTGTTCACTTAGTTCTAGGTGTCAAGACAACAGCAAGGTAATCATTTAAGAATAGCAAGCACATCAGTCCCAGCATTTGGGAGGCAGAGGCAGGCGGGTCTCTGAGATCGAGTCCAGCCTGGTCTATGTAGCTAGTTCAGGTCAGCTGGGACTACAGGGAAGACCCTGTCTGAAAGGAAAAAAAAAAAAAAAAGAGTAGCAGATTAGGGGCTGGAGAAATATCTTGGTAGTTAAGAGCACTAGCTACTCTTGGAGAGGACCTAGGTTCAGTTCCTAGCACCTACATGGCAACTTACAACCATATGGAACTCTAGTACTAGGCCATATGATACCCTCTTCTGGCTTCCGTGGACATTGTGCAACATGGGTTCAGTTACATATGTGCCAGCAAAAACTCAAAAATTTTTTAATGAATAAATATTTTCAAGAAAAGAGTAGCAAGTTAACCATATTAAGTCCTATAGTTAGAACCTCCTAAGGCAGGGGGTGGTGGCTCACACCTTTAGTCCCAGCACTTGGGAGGCAGAGGCAGGTGGATCTCTGTGAGGCCAACCTGGTTTACATAGGGAGTTCCAGGCCAGCTGGGGCTGCAGGGAGACCTTTTCTTATAAAGACCAAACAAAAACTTTATTATTTTTATGTGTATGAGTGTATTGCCTGCATCTATGTAAATGCATCCCTGTCTTACAGTGCCCACAGATGTCAGAAGAGGGTGTTGAATTCCCCTGGGCCTGGAGTTACAGTTCTTAGCCAACCTTTTGGGACTGGAATTCAGACCCAGGTCATCTATAAGATTAGCCAGTTGAGCCATATCTCCAGCCCCAGGGACTTTTCTGTCTTTACTCTGCCTTTTTCTGTTTTATTTTTTGAGATGAAGTCTCATGTAGCTAGAAATGAGTGCTTAGCCAGAAAGTGTTTGCACTCATAGAACCCATATACAAAAGCTATACACTATGATGCATGCTTATAATCCTAGTGTAGGGGAAGCAGACAGATCTCTAGAGCTCAGTGGCCAGCCTGTGTAGCTTTCCTGGTGAGTGCCAGGCTTGTCTTATCTGAAACAAACAACAACAACAAAAAAACACTAGGTGGTTAGCACCCAAGTTTCAACACCCAAGATTGACCTCTGACCTCCACATGTGCACAGATACGTGCATTCCTACACCCTCACTAGATAGAATTCTGGTGTAGTCATTTTCTTCACTGGCTGAATTTGACTGGTCCCATTGGAATAATACCAATAGGGGAGGTTTAACAGAGGTTTAACCTGTTTTGGAGTGTTTTAGCATAATTGCTAGTATCTACAAAAACTCACATGACCTGTATTCTTAGGCTAAGAAAGAACATTAAGTATTCAAGGCCAGCCAGGACTACTTGAAATCCTGTCACAAAGAAAACATACATTAAAAATTCCTCACATGAGTGGCTTTGATATCACAGAAGAGTTTTGTTGACCTCCATGTTTTATCTTGTTATGATTTTACCCTTTTTAGCATTAGCTCCATGGCCACATAAATGTGTGAGTGCCATTTCTATAGTCCTTTTAAAATATTTGGAATATGTCAGTATTAAATTACACCTTCACATATAGGGACCCAGATTACTCAAGACATTTTTAGTCCAACAATTTTATATTTAAGAATAGTGGTTATGGGACTGGGGAAATGGCTCAGCAGTTAAGAGCACTGGCTGGTCTTGGAGAAGACCTGGGTTTGAATCTGTATACCCACATGGCAGTTAACAACTGTCTGTAACTTCAGTTCAGCAGATCTGACATCCTCTTCTGTTTTCCATGGGCACTGTATGACAGGGCTACACTTATACACATGTAGGCATAACACTCATACACTTAAAAGAATCATGGTTATTTTTATGTATTCATTCATACATCATGATCTTCTGTCAAACCTATTTTACAATCCATTTGGTGCAATCCATTTGGCCTCTCAGATTTGAAATTTTTTTCTCCCTCATGATAGATACTGAATACCAGGCCTTGGACACATGCTAGACAAGTGGCCTTCCACTGAGCTACAGTCTCCGGAACACTCATACCTTTATTAATTTAGAGATAGGGTATCAGTTGCCTAGGCTGGCCTTCAACTTGTGATCTCCTATCTCTACCTCCCAAATAGCCAGGATTAAAGACTTATACCACCCCACCCGGCTTGAAATTCATTTAAGTATTTGAGATTCACATTCACTTATCAACTATGGCTTTATTTTTATATGAAACTGCCTCAGTCTTGATTTCTTACAATAATGGAAAATAGTCATATAGCTTGAAAGAAATGATATTTGCCTGTTAAAGACCCTGAATTGTTTTTTGTTAACTTATCTGATATATAATGCATTTTTCCAGGTGAACCGTCCTATAGGCCGGGTACAGATCTTCACTGCAGACTTGTCAGAAATTCCCCGTTGCAACTGTAAAGCTACTGATGAGAACCCCTGTGGGATAGACTCTGAGTGCATCAACCGCATGCTGCTTTATGAGTGCCATCCCACAGTATGTCCTGCTGGAGGGCGTTGCCAGAACCAGTGCTTCAGCAAGCGCCAGTATCCAGAGGTTGAAATTTTCCGCACATTACAGAGGGGTTGGGGTCTACGGACAAAAACAGATATTAAAAAGGTGACGAAAGCTATTGATTATTGGATTTTCTTTTCTTTTTTTTTTAATTGCTTGCTATGACTATTTCTTGATGACTATGAGAAATTTCAGATAGAAGACACATAGTTAGGGATTATATAAACCTCCAGAGTTTAGAGACTTGGGAGTGAATGGTCTAATCATTCTCTAAAGTCCTCACATTGATCATATTCACTTCATAGAATTCAAAAATTTATAGACGTTATAGGTTATTTACTATTTTGTGAAAATTGTTTTCAAGTCTGTAGTTAAGAGATGATGAGACAAGAGATGGTTGTCATTTTTTAGTAACATTTGTGTGGGAAGTTTGGCTTATACTCTTTGAAGAACAGTGAACTTTTCCAGTAAAAAATGCATTGACAGCTTCAACTTGAAATTTGGCAAGTTTTGGGGGCTTCTTTTTACTTTTAAGCCAAGTTAAAATTTATTGAGATTTTAAATAGAGTTTTAAGTACTAGAATTAAGAGAAATTAAGGTGTTCAGGAAGAAAGTAAGACATCTCCACAAATGTAGGTGTGGGCTTCTCAAAGATTGGAGTTGTAGGGGTCGAGAGATGGCTAAGTGACTAAGAGCACTGACTACTCTTGCAGAGGTTCAATTCCCAGCAACCACATGGTAGCTAACAACCATCTGTAACTCCAGTTCCAAGAGATCTAATGCCTTCTTCTGGCCTCAGAGGGCATTGCATGACAGTGGTGCACTTACATGTAGGCAATACAGTCCTACACATAAAGATAATAAATAAAAAGATTGGAATTGCCAAGTTCATCAAATTTCTAACAAAAGATAATATTGTACAGTTTGTTTAAAATAAATTTTATAAAGCCTTAGTTTCATGATTTCTGAAGAATTTCTGAAAGTCCTATGTTCAGCCTCTAGCACAGGAGGAAAAACAGTCTAGAAGCACAATGAATATAGTCTGCTTTGTTTGATAATATACCAAATGGGCAGGAGTGATAGCTTAGCGGTTAAGAGCACTGACTGCTCTTGCAGAGGACTCAGCTTCCATTCCCAGCACCCACATGGCGGCTAACAACTGTCTGTAACTCCAGTTCCAGGGAATCTGACACCCTCCCCTAGCCTCCGTAGGCTTTGCAGGACATGGGTACTCTTAACATGTATACAGATAAAATGCTCATACACATAAATAACTTTTTATAAAGCAATACACTAGGGCTTGAGAGATGGCTCAGCGGTTAAGAACACTGGCTGTTCTTGCAGAAGACCCGGGTTCAAACCCAGCACCCATGTGCCAGTTAAAAACTGTCCATAACTGCAGTTCCAGGGGATACGACAGCCTCTTCTGTCCTCCGTAGGCATTTCACTACACGGGTACACTTACCTACATGCAGGCAATACACACATACACATAAAAATAATATTTTAAAATAAATAAAAAGCAACACACCAAATAATTGTCTATTTGTCAGAAGTTGTTGCAGTCAATGGAAACATGTTCCATCCTTTCATGAAGTTAACATTCTAAAGGGGATGAAATATAGAAGTATCACCCAGTGTGGAATCCTATTGGAGTCATACAGCAAAGGAGCTGAAACTACGTCTTAGGATATTTTCAGATGAAACTTGGATCAGGCGAGGGTAGAAGTAAGTCTTGAAATTAATGAAGCACCATTTGTGAAAGCCAGTATACACCATAAGGAGTAAGTGGGCAGTAGTATGAAATGTGGAACAGTAGTACCAGGGCAAGCATCAAGAAGCTTGAAACAGTTTTGTGACACTGGCTTTCAGGCCCTTGGGCAGGTAATAGAATTGAGTGTACCTTCATTATTACTCGTCTTCCATTCCAGTGACTCTTCAGAATGCATTGTATCCTAGGGCCTTTCTGTTGATGGGAGGGGGGAAGTGGTTTTATTTATTAAATAATTAAGACATCATAAATAACAAATTTCATGCACATAATCTACTTTAAAGAGTCTTACGTTTTTTTAATTTTTCAGTGTTTCATATTTTTATCAAAATTCTGAGAATTAAATATAATGTGTAGTTTTAATTTTTTTTAAAAATGCAATTTGTACATGTGAAACAGCAGTGTGCTTTTGCCTAAGTTATGAACTATTTCTTATTCTAGGGTGAATTTGTGAATGAATATGTGGGTGAGCTAATAGATGAAGAAGAATGCAGAGCTCGAATCCGTTATGCACAAGAACATGATATCACTAATTTCTATATGCTCACTTTAGATAAAGTAAGTAATGCACTGTCTTGTTTCTACTGTGGTAATAAGATGGTAAAATTTGTGGCATCTCAGCCTGTGTTTTCATATATATTTGTCCCAGGTCCAACTTATACTCTGTCTGTAGCCATGAAAATGTTCTTGATCTGGATTCTGGAGAGGGTTAAACTGCTTGTTTTTGGCTCTTCAGTCAGCAAAAGGCTGTTCTTTACTATTCTTTTTTAATGTTCTAATAGAAGTCTGGTATTATTTATCCCTTACAAAGACATGAAGAAAATCACAAAAGTAGATAATCTTTTCCTTTTATTTAGCAAATTGGGAGACTAATTTGGCAATATTTAACTAGTGTATTAAGTAATTTGTAAACCTCAGAAAATCAAGGAACTTTTCTAGTTAGAGAAACGTTTTGTTCTATTTCATTGTTGATTAGAGTTGTATTTTGGAAGTAATTTTCCTAAGATGCCATACTAGTGTGTGTCTATTTTCTGTATATCCACAGTTCTTTGTGCTTAAGTTCCAGTAAATTCTTTTCCCCTATACGCTACTAATTTTGGGGTTTTCCATCCCCCAGTATGAGAATTAAACCTAGAACTTCATGTACATTAGTCAAACACTTTTCCAATGAACTACATCTCTAGCCTCTTTTAATTGAGTTTATTTTATACTATGTTATGTTATTTTAGGTTATTTAATTATTATTTAAGAATTTGAATTAGGATCTTACTAAGTTACCTAGACTGGAAACTTGCCATCCTCCTGCCTTTACCTTCTCAGTAGTTGGGATTACATGTGTACCCTGCCATGTTTGGACTAACAGCTCTTTCCTGGCATTAACCATTGTAAATATTTCTTAAGATGTACTCTTGTGTTGATGAGCCCTTACCACCAGACAGTCTGATTATAGTTTGGGATAGGGAGTCGGCATATGTAGTTAAATTTCACTAGATGAGGTCTAATGTTCACCTGGTATGAATATTTTCTAATTAGAAAGTAGAACAAGCTGCTGCTTCTAGCGCAGGAATCCTTCAACTTGGGTACATACCAAAATCCCTTAGTTGGCTTGTGAACAACAGATTGGTAAGCCCCAGTAGAGCGATTTTACTGTAGTATATTTGACATATAACCCAAGAATTTGAATTTAAAATGACCTTCCAAGTGGAAGTGGTTTTACTGGTTATGGGTGGCACATTTAGAACTACTGCTCTGGAATATTTAAAATTTTAAAAACATCCACTTGATCTAATTGGAAAGATTAATCCAGTTTCCTATATTAGTAAAGATGTCAGCAAGTCTGACAAGAAGCTTTTCTTGGAATTCTAGGATCGAATTATTGATGCTGGTCCCAAAGGAAACTATGCTCGGTTCATGAATCATTGTTGCCAACCCAACTGTGAAACACAAAAATGGTCTGTCAATGGAGATACCCGTGTTGGCCTTTTTGCCTTAAGTGACATTAAAGCAGGTAAGAGTCCTATAAAGATTTGAATTTCAAGTTTTCCATTTACCACCTAAAAAATATTGTTCAGTATTTTTATTCTTTTAAAATTTTATACAGTTCTCCTACCTAAATATTTATTTATTTATTTATTTATTTAT